TGAAGCAATGATATTCCCCTGATGGCTTAAAGGGCAGAGTCTTAGAAGTAAGGCTAAGTCATACAAAAGAGACAACATTATAGTCTGTAATTTACTTAAAACACTTCACTAAAAGCAATGCAAATATGTATATCTGTTGTAGTTTTATTCTACATCCTATGGGCAGTTGGCTAACATTTGGTGTGCTCTGATCCAGAATCCAAAGAGACCTGGTGGTACAGTGGTTAAGCGCCTGGCTATTAACCCAAAGGTCAGCTGTTTAAACCCACCAACGATTCTATTGGAGAAAGATTTGCCGATATGCTCTTGAAAATATTACAACCTAGGAAACCCTCTGGGGCAGTTCTATTCTGCCATATGGGGTCTCTGTGAGTCAGAATCAGCTTGACCACACACAGCAACAACCCAGAATCCATACTCCAGGGTTGATGGTTGCTTAGCATTTGCCTGGAGTCCAAGGAGTCCTGGTGCCGCAGTGGTTGAAGTGCTGTACTGCTAACCTTCAGGTCAGCGATTTGAACCCACCAGCTGCTCTGGAGGAGAAAGATGTGGCAGTCTGTATCCATAAAGATTGACAGCCTTGGGAACTTTATGGGACAGTTCTACTCTCTCCTATAGGGTTTCTATGAATCAAAATTGACTCAACAGAGAATTGACCAGCAGAGGGCATGGTTTTTGGGGGATCAGGGGTCCACACTCCAGATGTAACTACTATAGGTCTTCAGCTTTGTTAATTAGCAAAATGACCTTGAAAAATAGTTTTCCTCAGTGACATAAGTGGTGTTTGAGATATGCAGTTTCATTAAAAATATAGTCTAACTCTCTTGGCCATTGCATGAAGGGGTATAAACATCTGACTAACCCAGCAACCTATGCCATTCAGAGTTCCAGGGTTCCTGATTCTGCCTAGGATCATCTCCGTTTGGAAGATTAGGTGAATCCTTTCACTAGTATATTGTTATCGCAGAACCTGAGAGACAAGAGAGATGGGACTTCATGAGTCTAAGGAATAGATGGGATGATCGCTTTTTTTGTGCCTACTTGTTAATAATTATATATGGAACAGAATTCAATTATACATTTGTTCAACCAATATTCCTTGAATTTCTCTTGTGTGTCAGGCAATATTCTAGACACTTGGAATACTATCATGTACAAAACAAGGATCTGACAAAGAGTTTGGCCAGAGGCCTGCTCTATTGTAATAACCTCCTAATGTCAAGGTTGTATGGGAGGATACCTGTAGCCCTCACCTACTGCTAACCATAGGGCTAGGAGCATCTCCCCAAAAGGGCTCATAAGTCACTGTGGTGCAGTGAATTATTTATTATGGCCTTTCTAGCCATGGTCTTTGTGACTCCCACAAGATGACTGGGTGGGGCTAGGCAAATAAGGGGTGCTTGTGTACCATCAAGGGGATTGGATAGTTTGCTAATAATGTAAATAAGGTACGTGGTACCCTTGTGGAGGTGGGACTATGCAAATAAGGTGTATGGAACCCTAACATGGGGATTGGCCAATTTTGCCATCTTGCTAGGCTTAAAATGAGCCATCACGAAATGGAAGGAACTCTTTACCATAAAGAAAGAAGAGCCAGAAGTGAAGCACATCCTTTGGAACCAAGATCCAAAGCTGAACCTCCTTGACCCAGGAGACTTTGCTAAGCAGGCAAGAGATACTGGAGATGGCAAGAGATGACAAGAAGACAAAGAAACATCTGCAGCAGAGGCAGCAGAGCCAAGAGACCAGTACAAGACAGAGTGGTGGGCTTCCTAGCTCATGGAGTGAGAAAACTGAGTGACTTTAGGCAAAGGCTAACTGGCAGGGTGGGGTGCCTCTAGGCATTTATCAGCATTGCTGAAAGAGCTTTGTAACACTTGTCCAAGCAGGGCAGAGGCCAGGCTGGGCCAAAGGCCAAGGAAAGACCTGCCTATGGGCACTCTGGTGGCGTAGTGCCTAACGCATTTGACGGCTAACCAGAAGGCTGGTGGTACAAATGCACTGGCTAAGCTCCTCCTTGGAAGGAAGGTTGGGCAATCTGCTTCTGTAGTGATACCACCTCAGAAACCAAGGGGGGATTGCTATGAGTTGGATCCGACTTGACGGCAGAGTTTGGTTTGGTTTGTATGGGCACAGCTGAGGGGAGGCTGTCCTTATCAAAGAACTGTATCCTGAGTATTCCTAATCCTGAGTTGTAACCTGTTACTTCCCTAATAAATCCCATAGTCATGAGTATTGTTTATGATTTCCACGTAGCCATTCAGCAGATTATCAAACCCAGCACAGAAATAGAGAGTGTCATGGGAG